GCTACTGTTTGGTAATCTTGAGAGTATAAGAACTAATTGTAGTTAGGACTACCGGAGATCATATAAACCGATTCACCAATCCAAATTCATGTCTTAGTCATTGAAACACATGACAACTGGTGTCAGAAGTGGTATGGACTTGACTGTAGTTACTGATTATGGACCAAAGATCTATTTTACAGTGCCATTCAACAAAAATGGAAAACATGGAATTCTGAAAGTCACGCTGGCCAAAATGAATGCCAATATGAAAGCTAGCCAATAAAAGCAGACACCAATACAAAAGCAATGCATGAAAAAATGGATGCCAATACTAAAGCAATGCACAAAATTTTGAATGAAATGAAAGACAAATTCAAAAGGTCATGAACACCAATAGAAAAGGCGACCAAGAAAATCTAAAGGAAATGATGGAAGAAATGATGAGTGCCAACCAAGCCAAGACGAATGCAAATCTAAAGGAAACGAGAGAACAGATCAAATCTGGCCAATCAGAAATGATATCCATAGTTAATGCCTGGTTAGTGGACATGAAGAAGGATCGAAAAGACACAATGTCCTGCCACAATGTCCTGGTGGTGTGTCTGAACAGTAAGGAGCTAAATCTGGAAGACGTGAAAACTGAAGTGGAATATCGGGAGGTCCCTATGTAAAAGGCTGCAATGAAATCTTCAGGAACAATGAAGAGGGAGCACAGGAGCCGGTATGTAGCTGCAGGGCCATGCAGAGATCCAAGGAAACTAACCTGAGGAGACTGTGGATCCCAGAGAAAGTTGGTCGCCACCTGCAGGAAGACATCCCATTGTGCAGCAGTGGCATGGGGCAAGAGAAACGTCTTCAGGAAAATTATGACCCACGGAAATTGTGGACCACAGAAGGAATTGGCCACAGCTGGCAGGAAGATGACCTGCTGTGCAAAAGTGGCACATTGCAAGGGACGCAGGCTTCAAGGATGCAGTCATGGAAGACCATTGGTCAAACAAAGACAGTGGAAGAATAAATTTGCAACGGGAACCAAGAAAGGACGGATGCTCAGAAGCAGACAACCGATGCGACAGGAAGGAACCAATGGAACCATGTACTGAGACTTTGGGGAGCAGCTATGGATGGAAGCAAGAGGACAACCAGCAAATTAGACAGGAAGGTTTTTGGACTTGAGTTTGTAAAGCAAGCAACTGGGATGTCCAGTAGGATGTAGAAAATGAGGAACATGACCTTTGGAGGGGTCGGCCCCCTCCGAAGTGGAAGAGAAACCTACTACTAGAATTAGCGCAAGAAGAGCCAGAAAGATGTTAGCACCTGCCACTCTGGCTAGTTTTTTCAAACTGTTCGAAAAAAAAAAAAAGAAAGAGTAAACTAAGGAAAATCTATGGATGATGGTGATAACCTGGACTAACTGGAACCTTATGATGGAACCGTTTGCGATGAGTAACATTAAGGAGGGAGCAGTGGTAGCGCTCGGAGAATGAACAATGCAGGGGGTGGGGGGGATGAAGAACGGGAAGGAAGATGAGATGCAACCACACACAGACCTTGGAAAAAAAATGGTGATACACTGCTAGGCTATTTGGGAAGAATATCCTTAAAGAGGGAGGAATGTAATGTGTATAGCTAGGCAACGGCATGACGAACACCTCGCTTAAGGGCACGCAACAGTAGAACAAATGTTTATAGCTCATTGCTAGGCAACATTCAGTGAACTAATGCAGTGGGGTGATAGCTAGCATGTGACTTGTTTTCTGTGTAGTCTGTGCTATGCAACAATAGAACTGTTTTCTCTGTGTGTGGTCCTTGCTGAGAGGATATGAGAAAATACAGGAATGGGAACTGACTTGACTTCAGTTCCAAAATTCCAAGAGAACAGCAGTGTGGCCAGAAGAAGAACTAAAAGACTTAGTGCGTCAGGTTACATGTGCTATGGTTACAGTACTCTTGAGAGTGTAAGAACTAAATGTAGTTATGACCAGTCAGGATCCAATAAACCGATTCGCCAATCCAAACCCGCGTCTTAGTTGCTGAAACACATGACAATACATTTTTCTATGGATAGGGGAATGAGAATCATGAATTAGGCACAGGTTTCTTCAGACATAAGAGAATAATATCAGCAGTTAAAGAGCGCAGGATTTGTTAGTGATAGAATGTCGCACATAACACTAAGATGTTGCTGGTGTGATGTCATTGCTCTGAATGTTCATGCCCCAACAGACGATAAACGTGATGGTGTGCAGGGCAGGATCTAAGAACTCTAATGTGTATTCGATAAATTCCCTAAATACCATATGAAACTATTTTATGAGATTCCAATGCCAAAGTAGGTAGGGAAGATATTATCAAACCAACAACTGGAAATAAAAGTTTGCATGAAATTAGTGATGATAGTGCAGTTAGAGTAGTAAAATATGCCAACATCCAAAAATTTGACTGCCAAAAGTACAATGTTCTCACATCGTAACATTTACAAACTTAATGTCTCCGGACGGAAAGACTCACAATCACATTGACAACACTTTGATAGACAGGAGATAGCCTTCAAGTTTACTTGATGTCCAATCATTCAGAGCAGCAGACTGTGATACTGACCACTGTCTGGTGGTGGCATGGTGGCAAAAGTTAGGGAGAGTCAGGCAATGAGTAAACAAACAAACAAACAAACAGAGTTCATACAGAAAGGTCACAAAAATTATACTAAGTAGAAGGTAAAGTGCAGAGGGAATATCTGAAAGACAAAATTGATGAGCTTGCAATGAACAGTAAGAACAAGAATATTAGAGACCTGTATAGAGGAATACATGGCTTTAGGAGGGGTTACCACCCTAGAAGCAACTTAATGAAAGATGAGAATGGTGATCTGCTTGCAGATTCCCACAACATTTTCAATAGGTGGAAGAACTACTTCTCTCAGTTATTGAATGTACATAGGGTCAGTGATGTTAGGCAGACAGAAATGAATACAGCTGAGACATTAGTGCCTGATCCTAGCCCTTTTGAGTTTGAAATTGTTATTGCAAAATTGAAATGGTCTAAATCACCAGGTAGTGATAAAATTCTGGCAGAACTTATTCAAGCAGGAGTTCAAATATTACGTTCTAAGATCCATAAGCTAATTACTTCTATTTTGAATCAGGAAAAATTTCCGGATCAGTGGAAGGAATCTACTACTGTACCAGTTCACAAGAATGGTGATAAAACTGACTAGTGATGATTGTGGGATATCGCTGTTATTAACAAAATTTTATTCAACATCCTTCTCTCAAGGTTAGGTCAGTATGTACATGAAATTTTCATGGATCATCAGTGTGGGTTTTGACATAAGAGACTTACTACTTATCAGATTTTTTCATTCATCAGATATTGGAAAAAAATTAGAGTACAACGAGACAGTACATCAGCTATTCGTAGACTTCAATAAAACCTATGAGTCAGTTATGTAGGAAGTATTGTAAAATAATCTTATGGAGTTTGGGGTACCCATGAAACTAGTTAGGCTGGTTAAATTGTATTTAAATGAGGTATACTAAATCCATATAGGTAAATATTTGTTGCATAATTTTCCTATGCAAAAAGGTCTAAAACAAGGAGATAATTTATCACTACTGCTTTCAACCTGTTTTAGAACATACCATTATGAAGGTCCAGCAAAACCAGGTGGGACTGAAATAAAATGGGACATATCAGCTGCTGGTGTATGCTGATGATGTGAATGTGCTGGAGGATAACCCAGATACCATAAAGAAAAAACACAGACACTCTAACTGATGCGGTGTGGAGGTTGGTTTAGAAGGAAACATAGAGGAAACTAAGTGTCTGTTCCTGTCTCATCACTACAATGCAGGGCAAAATCATGACATGGAGACAGTTAACAGATGTTTTGAAAATGTGGCACCAGTTCAAATATTTTGGAATGACAGTAAGAGATCAAAACTAGATTCAGGAGGAGATTAAGAGCAGACTGAATGTGAGTAATGCTTCTTACCATTCAGTCCAGAACATTTTGTCTCCTTGTCTGCTGTTTAAAAACTTAAAAATTTGAATATACAAAAATTTTATTTTGCCTGTGGTTCTGTGTGATTGTGATGCTTGGGCTCTGACATTAAGGGCGGAACATAGACTGAAGATGTTTGAGAACTGGGTGCTGAGGAAAATATTTGGACCAAAGCGAGATGAAGCGCCCGGAGGTTGGAGAAACATCCACAACGAAGATCTTCATAATTTGTGCTCTTCCCCAAGTATAATTACAATGATCAAGTCAAGGAATTTAATTTGTTTCATTCTGGTCTGTCACATTAACAATTACAAAGACAAAAATAACACCGTCTAATGTGACTATTTAAGTTTTATCATTTGAGGACTCGTCACCCTTACATGTTTCGATGTATTGTAATAGTAGTTTCTGAAAAAGTATTGATGCCCTCTGAGGATGATCAGTAGGGATCGAAACATTAAGGGTGATGAGTCCTCAAATGATAAAACTTAAATAGTCACATTAGATGGTGATATTCTTGTCTTCATATCAAGTCAAGGATTATGAGATAGGCAGGTCAGGTAGCATGAATGGGGGCAAAGAAGAACACACATAGGATACCGATGGGAAAGCCAGGAGGAAAGAGTCCAGTAGGAATACAAAGATATAGGTGGGTGGATAATATTGAAATGGATAGGATGGGGTGGTATGGACTGGATTGATCTGCCTTGGGATAGGGACCAGTGCAGCAGCCTTGTGAACATGGTGAAGAAACTTTGGACTCCATAAAATGCCAGGAAGTTCTTCAATAGCTGAAAAACTGGCAGTTTCTTGGGAAGGGTCAGCTCCATGAAGATGGTTAATATCCATCTCATGGTGTTGAGCATATAGAACATTCAAACTTCACTTCAACTGCCTCTGGTTATTAACAACCAGTCATTTGCTAAGGAACTAAAAAGCTGTTCAATAAACTGAACATACTAAGGCAGCACAAATCTACCCCTACTAAAGAAAATCCATGAAACTGGGTACTAACAGTTCCAATCTTTCGAATCTCTTCAGTAACTTTTGTCCAGAATGTGGCAAGTGCTTGCTGAGCCTCTGACTGTGACTGTGCAACAGCAGGAGTTGCTGCTGGTACAGAAGTTTCCCCTTCTACCTCTCCATCTGCACTGTAACAAACTCAACATTGTTTTAGCATAGTATCAGTAGTGTTCTGATGGTATCTATCCAATCAATAACATCATGCTCTAACTAAACTAACTTTCGGTGCAATAGGTCTGCTTTTTTTTAAGGCAGAGTAGCAACAAATCATGAACAATCTAAATTCAAAATTTGAATGCTCTTCGTTCCCTGACATTTTGCTTGATATGGTTTATACTTACGTGTTCACAAAAAAAACTGACATCTTGGATTTGTACTAAATGTTGGTAGGTCTGTGTGTAACAAAACGTCCAGCAAATGCAATAAATTCTTATTCGCGCGCTAAATCACACACCACCTGCATTTAAAAGAACTGCTCAGAACCAATCACTGCAATTATGTGATGCTCTCCAATCACTACACAAAATGGACACAGCCAACCACGGATCACAACGATCACAATATCCAACCAACCACCACCTGAATCCTGAATTGCTAATGTATAAATATATAGTTTGAATATTCGCCACCACGAGCGTTAGGGTTAGTGTTGCAATGATTATTGTTCGATATTTAAGTTATCGATATGTGATGGACGGCTGTGTCGGCTGTCTTTGACGTCATTGAAAACTAATTGCATTCTTATTTGCAGTTAAATAGGAAGAGTAGGAACGTGTAGGCGTGTAGGGATGCGAAGGACGGTACGCTTACGACGTAAGTACTGTCAGGGAAATGCTAAAAAATACAGCTTTATACCTGTAACACGATTCCAACACCCTTTCGCTTAGTATAGAGCATGTTTTCTTTCGTCGTATTAAATAAAATATTTCTGCTTAATGAAGACGTCTGTAGTTTTAAAGTCGTGCTGTAGTGGAATTATTTAACATCGTATTGATGTCATGTATAAGCATGAATTGCTTCAGTGCAAACCGTAAAAGTGCACAAATTCCAAAGTGTAATTTTTCTTTTGTTGTCTGAGAAACCGTTCTGGTTGTAAGAAATCGGTTTGAACCCTAAACGTGGACAAATAACGCAGATATTAAAAAAGAATAATTCTTGTGAATTTTTCACATGGCTGAATGCATCATGCAGTGGTTTGACCAATCTATAGTTTTTCAGCTACCTGAAATACTCCCGACTTTTACAGAAGGTTCATTATCATAAACGTAAGAAATTTGACCCTCTCTTTGAGTCATTCGAACACAGTTTACATCTTTGTAACCAGCTTTTCCAAGGCACATTTTATTCCATTGTCTATGCCATGCTATCCAAACAGTTCTCTTCCCAATACGGTTTTGAAATAAAATTGTACCTCTTGGTACTTCATACATGTTTTATCGCTCATCCATATATGGTTGATTTATTCCCTTAAATACACTTTCATCAACACTTGTCAAACATCCTTCATTTCTGTGCGTTTTTCGCAGAATACTCGACATAAGCCATGTAAATCAACGTGTAAAATTATCTCTCTTCTCCATTATGTTAAGAACTCTGAATATATTCATTTCCTGAATATATTCCACTCTTAATTTCATGCTATTATTTTTATTACACAAATGAGAAGGGAAATTGGGATTAAAATGTAAGTTTCTATAACATTTTTTTTTTCACTTTATTTTAAGTTCCATAGATCCTTTCAGGTCACGCATGGCATAGGATATAGAACATGTCAAAAAACATAAGCACATACATAAAAACAATGGCCCCATCAATATGCAATACAGTCATAGTACAACATTGTACATAAAATATTCAGATATGTTCAAATTTATGCACATATATGATTATCATTGTCACAATCATAAATTAATACAAAAGACCTATTCATAATGTAGAAGTTTGATGCAGTTATCTCAATCACATAATTACAAATACTTAATTTAACAGTCCAAATATAATACATTTCATCAGGAATTAAAAATTATAATTTATAATAAAAATTCAGTATATACAATCAGTCATTTCATAGCAAGAACCTTAAAATTTGAAAACTATTAATTAACATATTCCTCTACAGGATAAATGGAAATGAGCTATAAGTAAACCATTCATGACCATCTTTATTGTTTACTGTCATGTGTTATTTAAAACAGATGGTCTATTATAATACAATGCTACCATAAAATTTATACCCTTAAATGCCCAGTGACTAGACAGTGCGTAATACATCATGTGGAAAATCAACCTAACAAACAAGTCAAGAAAATATCTGGATTTCAATTCAGTTCAATTTATTTAAACATTCCGTTGATCCTTAGTGGTACAATAATGACCAGTAGATGTGGAATTAGTCACAGACAACACCAGACAAGTCGCATCACTTTAACAAGCTACGAGTATAAATACATCAATAATTCATCTCCACAATACAGTATCTCAAACATTGGTCTAATATCTAAAAGCAGATTATTTATTAGGACATTACATCAATTATTACTTACAAACAATACGCAGACAACAAACAGGCCATAGATGCCTGCACAGTTAATACCCAGGATGGCACAAATTGTGTACATTGTATGACAGTTATATGTTTAAAATGTTGAAACTAATGTACTGATAGTACTAAGATGTGATGAATACCTCCAAAGGAGGTCACTGAGCAAATTTGCGGACGTTTACCGCCTGACAGCAGTCACTAATACCTCCGGTAGATGGGGGAAGCATTATAGATACTTCTCAGCCAGTAGAGCCGGTCTCGCTGGCTGGGCGGGACTGATGGTAAGCACCAATACCGGCAGGATATAGAGGCTGGTAGAAATCATAGAGGGAAGCACAATGGACCACTACAGGTCTAAGTGCATGGGGAAACCCACCCTCTCTAATAACTAACTAACTAACTAAGATGTGATGAATGTATACGAGCAGATTATAAGTATCATAAAAAGGTTTACTTAGTAGGGAGTATAACCCAGGTGTTTAGTTTACTTTACGGTTAAAATATTCATCCAAGGAATAAAACGAATTGGAAAGAAGAAACCTTTTTAGCATCAGTTTGAATAGTTTCATTTCATTAATCAGACTTTTTATATTAGGTGAAAGATGATTATAAGCTCTGATACCAGAGTAGTAGGGTCCTTTTTGGAAAACTGTCAGACGTGATGTAGGAAGGTGCAAGTTTGTGCTATGTCTAGTACTGAAGCTATGAATCTCATGATTCGATTTGTACAGATCGTTATTTTTACGACAAACAGTATTATCGAGTATATATATTGTGAATACGTTGGCAATATATTTAATTTTTTAAATAGATCCCTACAGAAGTCTTAATTTTTTGCATTCATAATAAGTCTAATTATCCGCTCTTGTATCCTAAAGATATTAACACTGTTAGGCATATTACCCTAGAAAATTATACCATATTCCATAATAGAATGCACATAGGAGAAATAAATCATCTTAGGAGTTTCTTGTGACATAAAACTTTTTGCTGTCCTAATAGCATAACAAGCTGAACTCATTTTAGTTACTAATTGGTCAGTATGAAGTTTCCATGATAATGTTTCGTCGATGTGTAAACCAAGAAACTTAATATTTGACATGTTAGTAATATGCTTGTTTGTTAGTAATATGCTTGTTTCCACAGCATATACTGATATTGGTTTCTAAACTATTTTTGTCCTGAATAAAAGGTAATGAATTTTTTAAATTAAAGATAACAAATTGGCTTTAAACCATTCATTTATGGCCACAAATTGTTTAGTCATATTAGTTTCAAATTCCAGAAGGCTGGGATTAAATATTATGATGCTTGTGTCATCGGCATATAGGATGATTTTTGGATTGTTAGTTATTACGTTAGAAATCTCATTTACATACAATAGAAAAAATAATGGACCAAGGATATAGCCTTGCGGAACACCATGCTTTATGATCTCTCACTCGGAGGAGGTACTATTATGAGTTTCCTGTTATGATACCACATTCCCATATCTATTGTTTAGGTATGATGTAATTAATGCTTTAAATATTCCTACTATCCCATAGTGTTCCAATTTTTTTTTAAAAGTATATCATGATTGACACAGTCAGATGCTTTCTCTAGGTCACAAAATATACCACCGATGGTTAATTTATTATTCATGGCTAATAATATTTCATTCAGTAGTTTGAAGGAGGCCATATTAATTGAAGAGTTATACCTAAAACCATATTGGTCGCTTGCAAGTATCTTATTTAGGGTTAAATGTTGGTAGAGCCTTGAGTATATAACCTTCTCAAAAACTTTGGAGAAGGCGGGTAGCAAAGATATGGGTCTATAATTAGAAATACATGGGGCAATCCAAAAGTTTACAAAATTTGAATTTTGCACGCGAATGGTTATGAGTACATCAAAATACCGCTAGGTGTCTCCTCACACATCCTTCTTGAATCACTGTGGCAAGCGGCGTCTAGTTGAGTGGTTGGGTTTATTGTTGGTGAACGTATTTCCATTGTTGTGTTTCCGTGAGTTTGCGATTTTGCGATGGCTGACCTGAGAGAGCAGCATGTCTATAAAGTTTTGTTTCAAACTTGGGAAAACCGCTGCAGAAACGCACCAAATGTTGAAGCAAGCTTTTGGTGAAAACAGTTTAGGCCAGACACAAACTTACAACTGGTATAAGCATTTTAAAAATGGCCGAACATCGACCAATGTTGACGATCGTTCGGGACGGCCGTCAACGGGCAAAACATCAGAAAATGTTGCGAAAGTTAGGGATCTGATTTTGCAAGATTGTAGACTGACCATCCAAGACCTCTGTAACACCTTGGGACTAAGTTATGGTACATGTCAACGAATTTTGTCAGAAGAACTGAACATGAGGAGGATTGCGGCCAAGTTTGTGCCACGACTGCTGCAGAATGAACAGAAGCAGCATCGCTTGGAAGTCTGCAGGGAATTTCAGAAACAGCTTCAAGAGGATCCAAAGTTTCTTTCGAAGGTTGTCAGTGGTGACGAAAATTGGGTTTATGGCTACGACCCTGAAAGCAAGCAGCAATCGTCGCAATGGAAGAGCCCATCTTCACCTTGGCCAAAAAAAGCTCGACAAGTCAAGAGCAACATTAAGTCCATGTTGATCTGCTTTTTTTTATATTGACGGGGTTGTTCATAAGGAGTTCATCCCTCCTGGTCATACAGTCAATAAAGAGTTCTGTCGCGATGTTCTAAGGTGTTTGAAGGAGGACATGAGGAGAAAACGTCCAGAGTAGTGGCGCATGAACGACTGGGTACTCCACCATGACAACGCACAACCCCATATGGCTTACATTGTGCAGGAATTTTTGGCTAAAAACAAGATGGCAGTTGTTCCCCACCCACCGTACACGCCAGACTTAGCTCCATGCGACTTCTTTCTCTTCCCCAAGATGAAAATCAAGTTGAAGGGGCGAAGATTTGATACAGTTGAGGAAATTCAAGCGGACACGCAGACAGTACTAAACACCTTAACAAAGAAAGACTTCCAGGATGCATGTGAAAAGTGGCAGAAACGCTGGGA